AAGGTGAGCGTTTTTCATTTCTTAAATAGTTGACTTTTAATTCGCCTGTCTATCCTATTTTATTGCAGGGTTTGTTACATTTATATATCGAATTAGATTTAAAACACAAAACTTAATTTATTAGTAGTGGTTTTAAATATAATTTATCATCATGTTTACATCAAAATTTTATCAAATAGTTTTGATATTTAACAATATTGTTTCAGTCGGGTGTGACATCTTGTATTACTCCATATACCTTGGTTGCTCGGACGAGACAATCAGCATACTGCAATAATTTAACATTATGAGCCAAAAAGAACAACAACAACGTTATTTGGCATTTATCCTTAATAATGCAATTAATTTCCATAGATATATATATTGTCGGGATATCTTTTGACTGATTGAGGACTGGAATAAGATATACTATAAATGAAAAAGGGAAAACAAATTTTAGTGCTTACTACAAATTACATATCTTCAATTTTTTAAATATTTAAACTCTTTAGAGTATACCTATTTATGAATTTCGCGTTCTATGATTATTAAGAATGAGAGTAAACAAATAGAAGGAAAACACAGCAGATGTTGCACCAAGGAATTAATTTTCTTCGAAGCGCACATCATAATTAAAGGCCAAAAAAATGTCAACTCCCTTTCAAACAGATTAGATATATTATGATTTTATCTCAAGGAGGAGATAATAGAGCCAATAAATAATGTTAAAAACCAAAAACACAAAAGGGAATAAAACACGACAAACGCGATCCACGTGTCGTGCCTTCTTCAGGTTTATGGCCATTTCTTTGGTAGTTCTCATCTGGACGTTCAGACTGTCTTGAATAATTTTTGGTCTCTAAAAAAATAAAATAAGAAAGTTACACCAAAATATTAGAAGAATTATAGCATACAAAACAAATTTTCAACGACATAAATAAACTCTAAAATACGTTATAAAGGAAATAACACAGATGTATATTAAGTGCAAAATAAACATGCTCATGCAAGATCGACATTAATTAGAAGTTTCTTAGTTTTGTTTCAGAGTATTTATCATAAACATGTGCTCTTTGTTAATAACGTGTATATGTATTAGGAATAGATTACTTAGAAAACAAAAAACACGTGGAAAATAGATAGAAATATGTTATAAGCATTTATTTTAATATTACAAATATTAGTAAGTTCCAAGTGATACTCTTAAATCTGGCTGGTGATTCTCAATGGTTCAGCGGTGAGTCTGTGGACTTATAACGCTAAAAATTGGGTTTCGATACCCTTTGTGGGCACTGCATACATAGTCCATTGTATAACGTTTTTGCATGACAACAAACAAACAAATACTTCCCAATGAATGTCATATATTTTTCATGAATTTCGAAAGTTACTTACTCTGCTTTGAAACACTTTGATAGGCTTGAAAATATCTTCAGGTCGAGACTTACTACGAGAAAGGAAGTTCACGAGTGTAAATTCCAACAAGACTCCAAAAACCATAACTGAGCATGCGCCGATCCAAACGTCAATAGCTTTGACATACGAAACCGGGGGTAGATTAGTTCGAACTCCTGCTGCAACGGTGCTCAATGTAAGTAGAGTGGTCACTCCTAGGGTCACTCTGGCAGGAGCAGCGTCTACGTTCAGCCAGAAGGACACCCAGGAGATCATTACAATCATGAAAGTAGGAAGATATGTCTGAATCAAGTGGTAGCCGTTCTGTCTTTTCAACGTAAAGGTGATTTTCAAAAAACTGAAGTTTCCTTCAAAGAAATATCAAATTTCTTCATTCGTTTTGCTTTTGTTAATATTTAAATGATTTTTTTTATTTCACACTTTTGACGAAAGCCACTTCAATTATTTAATAATAGATGCTAATATTATGTTTTTTCAATGCCACATTCAGTTTGGAAACAACAAACGTTAAAAAAATGTTCTACCATCTTCATGTCTTTACAAATTTCGTTAATATTTTTCCGTTTCAATTATTGAACTAATAAAATATTATTAATAAAATTAGCAAACATATTTAAACAAAGATAACAACGAAACATTTAGAGCTATTGGTTGAGATGATTAACAGTAAAACAATGCACAAACGAAAAAGAGGAAAAACTTCTTAGCTTTAGTTTGAGATGATATTTGAAGGTTGTACACCTTTAAGTAAGTGTTAACTATTTAAGGGAAAATACGCTACAGAGATAAATTTTGAAGTAGAGAATTTGTTATTATAAATATATTTTTACTTAGTTTTTGATATAAAGGAGAAGTACTCTGCAGAGATGTTAGTAATACTAACTACTTCAAAATACAAGTAAGTTATATTTTGACTTTTTAAACACCCGGTTCTCATCTATTGTTGTTGTACATGCTCATACGTGTATCAATATAACATAAAATTTACGAAAGTTTGTCCTGAAACATGAAAAAAAGTTTATCCTGAAACATCAAAAAAGTGTATACTGAAACATGAAGAAAAGTTTATCCTGAAACATAAAAAAAAAGTGTATCATGGAACATCAAATTCTGGTAACTGTAACGGATATTCTATCATTATTGGATCTTCGTCTTGTCAAAATATTTGAAGTTCATGGGTTGTTTGCACATCTAAGTATTACATGAAGAATAAACAAAACATGATAATATATATTTGGGTCAGACTTAATACGATTAATCAAACAATGCATTCCCAGTTGAACAACTAGCTGAAAGGAGAAATCTGCTGAACCAAGAAGTCTTCCAAATTTGTGGTCTTGTAAGTATTTATGGCTAGGAAGTATTGAGAACGGTATGGGTTTTACAGGCTTATCCTACGTTACCTACCTACGCCTCCATAGTGTTCATGGGAAGAACCAGTTTGAAAAGTATTCATAATATCATACTCCGGGACTCTAAGTTTCGGATTTAGTTGAATTGGTCTGTTCGTCCACTTCAGGATAACTCTTTCTTCATTCAATGCATCTAACATGGAAGTTAATATTCTTGGTTTATTTAGCTATATTTAAAATAAATGTTTAAAAAAAACCTGTGTTCATTCATAGAAAAACTAGGCTTATGTTTGTTTGTTTGTGTTTTGCTTCTTTGTCACATAATTCTTACAATAAATAAGGTATTTATTAACGATGTAAATACAAAGTAACAAACACAGAATCAAATGCTGACTTAACCAGTCAATATATTTTTTCATTAATTTTAAATAGAAAGCTAAAACTAATTCTAATTCGTTATTGAATTGTAATAGGAACAAGGAATGTTCTAAAGGATAACAAGGATAACAACTCCCCAGGCGGGTTGAGATAAAATATCAGAAGTTTTTGTTCATAAGCCATTTTGTTTATCACGATATATATGTACATCTCATTTCATTTCACTTTGTTTGTTTGTTTGTAAGAAAGCACAAAGCTACACAAAGGGCTGTCTGTGCTCTGCCCACTATGGGTATCGAAACCGCTATGAAACTGGGGGGCTTCACTGAAAAGAGCATTTTTTTTTCAAATAAAAAACCTTTATGTTTGATATTTAATTGTCATTTATTAATTGTTTAACGAACTAATTAATTTGTATTTTTGCACTCGGGTTTAAGTATATAAGGCACCACTAACCCTTTAAACATTGGATTACACGCGTCTACTAGCCTACTTGTATATTATATATAATCGTTATGTGTATGTGGTTCGAGAACCATTTTTATATTTTTACCGTCTTGTTTTCACACCATTTACTAGCGGTTGGATCTACATACTACATCATACTGACTAATCTTATGTTTTTACCGTCTTGTTTTCACATCATTTACTAGCGGTTGGATCTACATACTACATCATACTGACTAATTTTATGTTTTTACCGTCTTGTTTTCACACCATTTACTAGCGGTTGGATCTACATAATACATCATACTGACTAATTTTATGTTTTTACCGTCTTGTTTTCACACCATTTACTAGCGGTTGGATCTACATACTACATCATACTGACTAATTTTATGTTTTTGATTACTACAGCACTCACTGTAAAGAAATGTCCAAAAAGGTTTGGTGAAATAATTCATTTTCTATGTAAAATACAAACCCTTCGTGGGTATTAATGGGATTAATTGCAATATTATTCGTATTTCTGTTATTAGGGACCCTTCAACCAATAAAGGATTTTTCTAACGTATTTATACAATTAATTGCATCTTGGGCTCATAGTGTTTAAAAAACTGATAGGGTCCACGTGGACACATTAGTAAATCTAGAGATAATTCTACGTAAAATATAACTAAAAAGTGTATCGTCTTCATAAACTTTATCGTATCATAAGTAGTTCAAGTATTTTATCTCAGTATATATTCGGATTCTGATCTGGTCTCTTATTAACTTCATTAATTTTCGTTAGAAGTTACATATTAACCACTAAAGTAACTGATAAAACAAAATATCCCTGTAAAAATTAAATGGATACGTTATGCCACAAATAAGTGATACACCTCTGTGTTAAACCATTCTAATTGTTTAAAATTGTTCAGTTAAATCGTATCAAATTCCTCTAAAGCTTTCAGGTCGAATTCATTGCATAAAAACATCACACTACGAATCACTAATAGAATTAAAATAGGGAACTAAATAATAGTTTGTTTGTTATGACATACAAAATGAACTATCTTAGCTGCACCAACCAAAGGGATTGAACCCGTATTTTAGCGTTACAAACCCAATAGATTATCGATGATACATCAATTGCACTATAAATAAGAATTATCTGCATAATACAAGGATTTCGCCACCCAACTTCGTTTATCAAACTCTGTTCCGTTGCAAATATATAACTATGTCCTTTCAGTCGCCACTAGAGGCGTTAGACATAAATAATAAAAAGGACGATGCAAGAAACGAACTCAAACAACACGACTAGTATCATTAATATACTCGGCATCCTACAAACAATTACTAGATAAAAGTAAAGGAAGATAGATATAAGTATCACTAATGAACCTTAAGGAAGTAATAACATGAGGAATGTCATTACTTTGTTGAGTAGTCGCTGGTAACTATGAAGGAAAAGTTTCTAATTAAATTATTGGTTCACTGAATTTTTTTTTCTAAGAGAACAAATACTAAATTTTATAACAACACCTAATCAAATATCCGTGACTTCCACGATTTAACTATTTTTCCATAGATGTCATTGAGAAGACGTGACCCCTATTTCATGTAGTGTCTGGTAAATAAAACATAATCATTTATCATGTATTGAGCCATTTGAGGTTCATTACCCTCTTAATGATCTATCAAAACTTGTATAATATATATATATATATATATATAGAAGACTAAAATCTATCATGATCGTAATACTTACATGGACCCACGAGGACATGGCAATGTTGAGTGTCCAGCGGATAATGATGGAAAACCATTTCACATGCCAGCCGCAATGTTAATCTGCGAATTGGAAAAATGAGGTAAATCTGGTAACACAACTTGAAAACGTTGATGTAACAGCTCTGAGTGTATTTCGTGTATTATTTTACGGGGCACTTACCTACTGACAATATCAACACATGTAAAAGCCAGTATTCATTTCAGGATATTAAAATGTGTTTACCGACTTCGTGTATGTTAAAATATTTATCGAACAAGAGATAAAAACAAACATTTAACATGAATGGCTTCCACCAAATATGTTGAATCATGTTGTACAGGTGTTATGCGCTAAGATACATTAACGTGATGATGTTATAAAGAAACCGCTAATATAATAATAATAAGAGAAGGTTAACGGAATAACTTCCAGGATAATAAAAGATGATGACAATAAACACTAGAAACACGTTGCTAATATACAATTTTCAAAGTTATTAAACCATCCAATTGTTCTTCTGCTTAGTTTTATCATAACTTTGAGTAATTGCTTGAATCATATGGTAATAAAGCTATATGTGTAAACAATGAAATCTTGAAATCCTGACAGTTTTATAGCAATAAAGTTTACTCTAATGCCAAGTTGTAAACGGTAAAAATAAACATTCACCTATTTCTACTTTGCTGAAGTAAAAATGGCAGATTTACTTGAACTAGGATTTTTTACGTGACCAAAATATAGAAATTATTTTTATTGGTGCAGTTTTATCTCTATAATAATTATATACACTCACTAGTATTCCAAAATACACCATCTCGTTTACTACATTACTCCTCATTGTATACGTAGAAGAAAACGAATAAACGTATTGAACAATACTGGACTAGAACAAAGAAACATCACTAGCAGGATGTACAACAAAACAAATAATTGTTGCCATCTTACGTATTCTTCAATAATTACAAGTTAACTCTCTGAGAGTAAAACTCAATGGAAGGGGCTTTTATGTAATAGTCTGGTAAATTAAACTTACGAGTTCATGCCTGTAAATCTTGTGAAGTGGTTTGATATTTTTATATTGAATGACAGGATGTTAAATAATGATAATGGGATGTAGGATGACGACAGTAAACATTAAAACACATTGCTTATTCACAACTGTAGGAGACAGGTGTGTGTGTGTGTGTCTCTGGATATATAAAAGTTTGTATTGATAAGAGAATTTTATAAAATATAATAAGAGTAGTCTTTAGATAAAGTATAAAAATAATTTTTAAATGTTGGTTATTTTGTACTAAAGTGATGACTTTCAACTCTGTTGCAAAAAAATTCTAAAAAAGAGATTGGTCAACTCTCTGAAGAAACTTCTATATTGTATGTCAAAGTGAAATATTAGCAACAGTTATCATAGCGTCACTAATTGCCAGTTCCATGATAGTATTAAGACTAATAACAAGTATTATATCTAAGAAAGTTTCAATGTACTCGAGAAAATGTTAAATAGCCAAGATCTTCCATTTCATAATGTTAAATAAATCAAAAAAGATAACCGTACCAGCAAGATGCTACGAATATTAAGTGCTGTATACTGTAACACCTAGATGACACTAGGTCAACTTTTAACCAAGAGAACCTGAAAACTTTTTACAGTTTGAAAGAATGCTAAGAGTTTGGAAAACAAGAAAAGAAAGAAAAACAGAAAAACGGACAATATTTCTTCTTTCTAAATGAAATTCGGGTTTTGTGCTTTATTACATCAACTTTTGCACCTTATTGAATATGTTAATGTAACTAATCTTATTTTCAATAAATTTAAAGTTTTTCATAAGCAAAACACAAAACAGACAATTCAACACTTCTTAAATTCTTTGTACTAGTGATATAAGATTAAGTTATATTATGTCTTTTAACATTAAACAAAAATTGAAATTATTGACAATGAAAATATTTATCATACCTCACACTATAAAGTATATCACCTTCCGGCGAAATTTTTATCAACATGTTGGGAACAGTAACTAAATGAAAATAAGCTTCTTTCACGTTTCTGAAGAACAAATCAGGCTTCCAGATACGATTAATAATATCTTGGGCATTTAAAGTTACGGTCTTATTCAATCCGTATTCCGCTAGATGGAGCCTGTGATCCTGCCAGGACTGACGAAGGTAAATGTCTAAGCCGTAGTCCTATAAATTGGATATTATTGGAGAATCATAATTTCGACTATTGAAAGTTATAAAATGAATTTTTTTTTCAGCATTGATAGATACAGTAGGAATAAAAGTGTAATGTTGTTTATAACATTGATTGGTTTGTCTCATGTATAATAATTTAAAAGTTAGGGTTGGTATATTTTAATTAAAAATGCTTAATGATTATACATTTTTTATTTCTCAGAGTTTCAAATAACTCATATGTTTATATTTTATTTAATTTGTTTGAATAAGAATTACAAATATCACATTAATCTATTTTTTTAAAGAAATTCTCTTACGATAAACTGTTGAAGAGACTTTACACGCCCAATGAAGGTGGTAGATCTTTTGAAAGTGCTTTAACGAATTACTTTAATACCAATTGAACTAATGTTCTTGAACGATTGTTATTAATATTTATAGAACATGTTGTTAAAGGAACAAAACACTTTATTCTTTCTAACGTACTAAATTATTGGACGGGAATAAATGGAATGATACAATCCACTAGTACTTATAAAAGAATAAATACTCTCAATATCTATATTTGATTCAGTGTATAAAGTAATAACACGTAAAAACGAATTTAATTTTTGATAATTATCGAACTTTAGAATATTTTTCTGAAATTACGCGTTTTCATAATATGCTTCTAGTTGTTTTAATCCTTAAATACTTGTCATTCCTTCGATGACTCTCAAATCTCATAAAACTATAACAATTAATATTATCATATAAACAATAAACTTGTTTTGTGGTTAAATTCAAGACACAATTTGAAATAGTTACTTACCATATCTGCTGCATTCACAGAACCCAAACTGTTAATGTAAATATTTACTTTGATAATTGTCGATTTACCTGCGAGAAAAAATACAACGATTCAATTATCTTCACTAGCTTTAGAAGACATATTATATCACTAAACTTATCTTAAACACAACGATTCAAATATCTTCACTAGCTTTAGAAGACATATTATATCACTAAACTTATCTTAAACACAACGATTCTAATATCTTCAATAGCTTTAGAAGACATATTATATTACTAAACTTATCTTAAACACAACGATTCTAATATCTTCACTAGCTTTAGAATACATATTATATAACTAAACTTATCTTAAACACAACGATTCTAATATCTTCACTAGCTTTAGAATACATATTATATAACTAAACTTATCTTAATCACTACGATTCTAATATCTTCACTAGCTTTAGAATACATATTATATAACTAAACTTATCTTAATCACAACGATTCAAATATCTTCACTAGCTTTAGAATACATATTATATCACTAAACTTATCTTAAACACAACGATTCTAATATCTTCACTAGCTTTAGAAGACATATTATATTACTAAACTTACCTTAAACACAACGATTCAAATATCTTCACTAGCTTTAGAATACATATTATATCACTAAACTTATCTTAAACACAACGTTAGTTATTATACCAAGGATTCAAATTAAATTATTTTATTCTAATAAAGAAAAGCTAAGATGTAACTTATTTGAAATAGATAGTATTTTTTTCTAAATAACACAACACTTTAAAATATAGTTAAACTACTTTAGCCTGATAATGACTTATAAATTTATATCAGTTTGATATATTTACATTAGCATAAGACTATCTTAGAAAGAAGTTTGTTTTCAGCACAAAATGTTGACTTTTGTATCCTTTTTTTTTTTATTTCTTTAACGTTATTAAGTAATAAAAAATAATATCTTGTTACCATATGTTGTAAGTAATGCGGGATAAATCAAATAAAGTGGCGATTTTTTGGTTGTTTTAATTAATAAAATCTACTTTGTTATACTGATCACATATAACCAGAACTTCAAATGTTAACTTTGAATCAAATCAAGGTTTCGGGTTTTCTCTGTCTTAGTAGAGCTATTAGTATGGAAAACATGAATGACCAGGTCAGAAACCTCCAGGGTCCAAGTATAGCTTCTCTAATTTGGAACTATTGAATAGAGGAACTAGCCAATAGCACCTGCTACATGGACTATGCCCAGCTTTCTAAGTGACGAGATTAACTATTACTTTTATAACGCGCCAACTTATGAAAATGCGTAGCGTGCTCAACAACATTGCGGCCCAAACCTTTAACAACGTACTGAAGCCGTGAATGCTAACACTAGGCCACTTTCCCCCTATTTTTTGCAGAGACGAATTACAGAAACAAAATAACAATTAAATATGGACACAAATTATGAGAAAACCTCTGAAGAAAGAGAGAGAGAAAGAAAACAACATATTCAGGTTTATCTTCCACATGAACACAAAATGTACAAATGGCTGTTTGAATATACACGGTGACAGTCGCAAGATATATAGCATAGCAATAATCTAAAACTGGATCCAGATTCTATCACAACAAACATAAATACTATCATCTGGATATTAATGCTCATCTCACCTATACCGTAAGTAGGCCAAGCTCGCTTATCATATCCAAGCAGAACCTTATCTATAAAAGACAAACGATGCGTTCCTTCAGGGTGTGGATCGATATGTATTGATCTCAAGTTCTTATTCTGGGTGTTTTTATCGGTTCCATACCTATGAATGTGAACAGAAACTCATATAAATTCCTTCAATATCTCATAAAGGTCATCACTGTAAGATCTCATAATTGAAAAAAAATTGACAAACAGTTTTTTAGATATTAACCTCTTAATAAAAACGTGTGATAAGTCTCTACGCAGGAGAAAATGTACAAAAAAAGTGAATGAGAAGAAAAAATTCTAATTTATTTCATAGTTTATCCAGCTTATTCTAACCTAAAGCATTAGGCATTGTAACAAATACTTTGTTTTATATTAATAATGAATTTAGTCCCGTTTGTTGTTAATATTTTTATTATATTTCCTAACTCCAAAATATTTAATTATGTCTAAGCATAGGACTCAAAGACACTGAAAAGGGGTTTGCAGGCCTTTCTGTGTACACGCTTTTTCCAACAATATTCATCCATAGACTACACTGATAGACTTCTATAATATATTATGTTTTTACTTACAGAATTTACTAGCAAAATGATTTATTACACTCTTAAGAAGTTACACATTCAATAATGTAACGTTTAACATAAAAAAACAAATAACAAAAGCAAATATTTGCTTTTTATAAAGATATATTGCCAAGGTTTATTAAACAAACAAAAAACAAACAAGTTTCAAGTTAAATATTTGATTTTATTGCCCATAGAACAAACAATATGGATACGACGAATAACGTAGATCTTCAGTTCTGTTGTTTGTTATCTCGAATTCTTCGGCATTGTTTGAATATCTTATTTTGCACGAGCTCGTATGAAAGAATTATTCATTTGAAACTTTTACTGTATATATATATATAACGAAAATCAGAATTAGCTCTAAAATATTGAATTAAATGTGATCAATAGTTGCAAATAATTTTATATGGAATTTATAGATCTCTTTACAGTATTGTAAGTTAGTTGACATAAATAAAATCAGATTTATAGATTCATAGATTTATAATTTTCTACATTTTCATCACGAAATTCTATTAAAATAATGATAAAGAGACTCATATTTGCAAATATTCTACATATCATGCTACATAAAATATAAAAAAGAGGAAAAATAGGTACTGTTTCTTGTATAGCTAATATCAATCAGATAGGTACTGTTTCTTGTATAGCTAATATCAATCAGATAGGTACTGTTTCTTGTATAGCTAATATCAATCAGATAGGTACTGTTTCTTGTATAGCTAATATCAATCAGATCCACTGAATTTTTAAGAGTCCTCAGTTTCCTTGTAATTTCAGTCCCGGCATGGCCTGATGGTTAGGGCCTCAACTCGCGATTCAGAATCCCGTCACCGAACATGCTCGACTTTTCAGCCGTAGGGGCGTTATAATGTGACGGCCAATCCCGCTGTTCATTGGTAAAGAGTAGACCAAGAGTTAGCGGTGGATGGTGTTGACTAGCTCGTTTATCACTTTAGAATTAGAGACGTTTGGTGCAGAAAGGAACATCAAAAAAACAACTCATATAATTATAATTATTAAATTAATAGTTTCTCCTGTTCTTCTGGAACTGGGCAATTTGCAAGACACAACCGTCTTTGTTTGTAAAAGGAGCATTGTCATAATGTACGTTCGGAAACCATAGATTTGAAAGTTCAGCGTAAATTGGGTTTCAAGCTTTCCTGATGTAGATTTTGTGACCATACAATTTAAAGTTTTGTGTAAAGTGGGTTTCCAATTATTCTCTGAGAGGCATATTTCTTAACAACTCTTTTTTTATGGGTGGTTTATCTAGTTTCAGTTTGATTTTAATTATTAGCTAAGATTCAAGTGGTCAATTTGGCGTCCTTTCTCTCTGAATGTGTTAGATCTTACCTGACAAGCCCAGTTTCAGTGAAATCATATCATTCAATTCGGTATTTAGTATTTTAAACCCGAATAGCATCTTATGCGACACTTGAACTAAGCGGTCAAGTCAGACACCCCTTTAAATTTAGGGAGATTTCTTGCAGTAGTTGAGACAAAACGAGTTAAACAACGTAACTGGTATTAATTTACTTATGCAATATTACAGTAAAATTTTATAACCAAAAATTACATAAACAAACGATATATTAAAAAAACAAGAAAACTATTCAGTAGTGAACACTAATCTAAAACTACATTGGTATGAAATTTGATTTATAATTTTTAAACTGTAGCATTAATCTGCAATTCAACTGTTAAAGATTTTTTCAGAATAAACTTGCAGGTGGAAGGTCTTATTTCAGTAGCTGAACATTTTAAAACCCAAGCAAATTTTTGGATCAAGAAAAATAAGTCAGAGTTGCTTATAGTCTTTAAATTTATCAAATATCAGGTTGAAAATATTTTTAAAATAAATTAAAAAGAGTTTAATAAGGACCTTCTACAATCAGACAACGATCTATGGTCGAACTGGTTATTAAACAGAATTTAACGTGGACCTTCTACAATCAGACAACGATCTATGGTCGAACTGGTTATTAAACAGAATTTAACGTGGACCTTCTACAATCAGACAACGATCTATGGTCGAACTGGTTATTAAACAGAATTTAACATAGACTTTCAAAAATTAGACAATGATCTATGGTCGAACGGGTTATTGAACAGAATTTAACGTGGACCTTCAACAATTAGACAATGATTTATGGCCGAACTGGTTATTAAACAAAATTTAACGTGGACCTTCAACAATTAGACAATGATTTATGGTCGAACGGGTTATTAAACAGAGTTTAACGTGGACCTTCAACAATCAGACAATGATCTATGGTCGAACTGATTATTAAACAGAATTTAACGTGGACCTTCAACAATTAGACAATGATTTATGGTCGAACGGGTTATTAAACGTGGGCCTTCGAAAATGGGACAAGGATCTATGGTCAAGCTAGTTATCAAACAGAGTTTAATATGGACTTTCAACAATCAGACAATGATCTATTGTCGAACTGGCATTTGTCCATATTCTACTTCTAAATTATACAAAATGACTTCCGGTTACCGCCTACCGTATATGTATGTATATTATGCATACTTATGATAATGATGACAATATCTATAGCAATCGCTATTTCATAGGCTTTTTAAACACACCTACTTCCGACGTTTTCACAACGCTTAAATTTCAACAGTCACTGCAGCACAAAGGAAGCAGGAAGTAAGCAACTTACAAGAGAGAGTTCATCACAGGCATTCTGAAATGTTCAATGTGAGTCATAGTACTTTCTACGTGTACTTATTTGTATCTACTTACAAGTTACGGCAGTTTTTTTACATAAATTCGTTTGGAGATATGATCTGTAGATATATATTTAAAATAGGTAAAGAAAAAATAATAATTTTCCAATCTGGAATGTGAAACAAAATTCAAGTACTATCCTTTACATTAACATAAACAGTTGTGAATACATGTTTTTATGAATAGCCTTGTAAAACCCATTGTTACCAATAGCTATGATGTTACTGTTTTAATTTGTGTATTTGTTCTTTCTCTTCATCATCCCTTATCTCATCTGTTTTCATTAAGGCAACAGTCGTTCGTTATCTAAACCTAATAAAATATCATCTTGCCGTTGTGACAAATTTTACTGGAAAAACTTTATAAACGAACACTAAATTCGTATTCTATAAATTTATTCTTAAATTTAAAGATCTAAACAAATAAACAAATTGAAATAATTATCGTAAGGATATAAAACATAACTAAACATTTATACTAACATAATTACTTGAATAAAATAAACACAAACAACACTCATATAAAACTCGTCATTAAACTTAAAATTATCCTAAACAAATAAATATAAATAACTTTTTTATTCTACTGTTACCTTTTGCAATAAAAACGAGTAATAAAAATATATTATTGAAAAAAAGTTCAGAAAATGAACGGCTATAACAGCACAAAAATAAATCATTAGGTTTTTATAAATATTGGTTACTTTTTCGGTTTTGGTTAATATTGTTAACTTTCTAGTTTTTGTCAATATATTTTACTTTTTCGGTTTTTGTCATTATTATTTATTTTTTAGGTATTTGTTAATATTGTTAATTTCTAGATTTTTGTTAATATTGTTTACTTTTAGATTTTTGTTAATATTGTTTACTTTCTAGGTTTTTGTTAATATTTTTTTTACTTTTCTAGGTTTGGTTAATTTTGTTTACTTTGTAGATTTTTGTTAGTATTGTTTACTTTCTAGGTTTTTTGTTTAATTTTATTTTTTTTTTGGTCTTTCTAGGTTTGTTTACTTTTTAGGTTCTGGTTGATATTATTTATTAAACAACTTAATATTGTTTACTGTTTTCAGACCATTGATTTTAACCAAACAATATTCTGTTTCACTTCGCTCGGCAGAGCTGAGTATAAAATTTGTGATACAAAACAATCTTCCCATATGCGCTAACATTTAAAGCTATAACGGTGCTGTAACTAACAAGTATGAAGGAAAATGTTTGTCTGTCTGTGTATGCATCTCCTCCTAAACGAGCTGACTGACCCAGACCAAACTTGGCATGCTAGCTTAGTAGTCCAAAAGCAAACCAAATTCATATTAAACTTTCCAATATATTTAAAAATTAAAATATTTCATAGAATAAACCCTATATCGTTACTGCAGTAGATATTGTAAATATCTGAGTTTGAACAAAACTTACACCACAATATAATTCTGCAATCAAAGATTGTAAATAACATTTTTGGTATTTTGGCTTCTTTCCCATAACTAAAATATCGAGCTAGAATGCAGAGAATAAGGATATTGCTGCTGTTTAAATTTCCCGCTCTTTCCTGATTCACACCATTTAACTTCCAGTTTGTACTAGGGTTAGAATAAGAGCTTAATCCTAACTTGTAGAAGTATATCATAATTAACATATTTTTAGAATATTTCCTACTTCTTGATGTACAATTGAGCTTTCCGTAGAAGCAAAATTCAAGATTATTATTGAATTTAATGCATTAAATGTACCAAATTAAGACAGTAGAAATCTTGACCACATCTCTACTGTGAAATGGGCTGCTTTGAACAAGAAGTGA